GGATTTGATTACAAGACCTCCACAGTACTGGGGGAAACAGAGACTCCAGTCTTGGAGGGCACAAACAAAATCTTGTGCATACCAAGATCTAGAGGAAAGGAGCAGTGACCCTACAGGAGATTGAACCAAAACTACCTGCTGGTGTTGGAGGGTGTCCTGTGGAGGCATGGATTGGCAGGGGCTCACCACAGGGTTGGGGACAGTGGTGGCAACAGTTTGAGATGGTCTCCCTTGGTGTAAGCCCTTTTGAAGGTCCCCATTAACTGTGCTATAGAGCCCAGGGCTGGTTTGTCTCAGGTCAAACAACTGCCAGGGAGGGAGTGCAACCCCACTCATCAGCAGATAGTTGGGTTAAAGCTTTACGAGTAAGGCCCTGCTCACCAGAGCAAGACTCTGTTTTTCCCACCTCCAGTCCCTCCCATCAGGAAGCTTGCAGAAGCCTCTTGGCCTCCTCCATCAGAGGGCAGACAGAAGAAGCAAGAAAAACCACGGTTCCACAGCAGCTAAAACAAAAAGCACGTTACAGAAAGTTCATTAGAATGAAAAAACAGAAGTTATGTTCCAGATGAAGGGACTAGATAAAGCCCTAGAAAAACAACTAAATGAAGTGGAGATGGCAACCTTCCAGAAAAGAAATCAGAGCAGTGATAGTGAAGATAATCCAGAATCTTGGGAAAACAATGAAGAAGATGCAAGAGATGTTTATCAATGCAAGAAATGTTTATCAAAGACCTAGAAGAACTAAGCTAGTGGAGGTGATGGAATTCCAGCTGAGTTATTTCAAATCCTAAAAGACGATGCTGTGAAAGTGTTGCACTCAATATGCCAGCAAATTTGGAAAACTCAGCAGTGGCCACAGGACTGGAAAAGGTCCGTTTTCATTCCAATCCCAAAGAAAGGCAATGCTAAAGAATGTTCAAACTACCTCACAATTGTACTTATCTCACACACTAGCTCAAGTGTGTAATGCTCAAAATTCTCCAAGCCAGGCTTCAACAGTATGTGAACCAAGAACTTCCAGATGTTCAAGCTGAATTTAGAAAAGCCAGAGAAACCAGGGATCAAATTGCCAAGATCCACTGGATCATCAATAAAGCAAGAGAGTTCCAGAAAAATTTCTGCTTTATTGACTATGCCAAAGCCTTTGAGTGTGTGGATCACAACAAACTGTAGAAAATTCTTCAAGAGATGGGAATACCAGACCACCTTACCTGCCTCCTGAGAAATCTGTATGCAGGTCAAGAAGCAACAGATAGAACTGGACATGGAACAACAGACTGGTTCTAAATTGGGAAAGGAGTACATCAAGGCTGTGTATTGTCACCCTGCTTATTTAACTTCTATGCAGAGTACATCATGCAAAATGCTGGAATGAAGCACAAGCTGGAATCAAGATTGCCAGGAGAAATATCAATAACTTCAGATATGCAGATGACACCACCCTTATGGCAGAAAGTAAAGAAGAACTAAAGAGCCTCTTGGTAAAGGTGAAGGAGGAGAGTGAAAAAGCTGCCTTAAAACTCAACATCCAAAAAACGAAGATCATGGCATCGAGTACATCACTTCATGGCAAATAGGTGGGAAAACAATGGAAACAGTTACAGACTTTATTTTTTTGGGCTCCAAAATCACTGCAGATGGTGACTGCAGTCATGTTGATCTTTGTTAATTGGTGTCGTGGTTATTATGGAGATTACGTGTGGAAATTAAAAGACGCTTGCTCCTAGGAAGAAAAACTATGACCAAACCTAGACAACATATTAAAAAATAGACATTACTTTGCTGACAAAGGTCCATCTAGTCAAAGCTATGGTTTTTCCAGTAGTCATGTATGGATTTGAGAATTGGACCATAAAGAAAGCTGAGTGCTAAAGAGTCGATACTTTTGAACTGTGGTGTTGGAAAAGACTCTTGAGAGTCCCTTGGACTGCCGGGAAATCAAACCAGTCAATCCTAAAGGAAATTAGTCCTGAATATTCATGGAAGGACTGATGTTGAAGCTCCAATACTTTGGCCACCTGATGTGAAGAACTGACTCACTGGAAAAGACCCTGATGCTGGGAAAGATTGAAGGCAGGAGGAGAAGGGGATGACAGAAGATGAGATGGTTGGATGGCATCACTGACTCGATGGACATGAGTTTGAGTAAGCTCCAGGAGTTGGTAATCAACAGGGAAGCCTGGTGTGCTACAGTCCATGGGCTCGCAAAGAGGTGAACGCAAAAGAGCGACTGAACTGAACTGAGAAGAACTAAAGAACAAACAGACAAATGAAGGACTCAATAGAAGAATACCTACGGCAGAAGAATGGATAAGTGACCTGGAAGACAGAATGGTGGAATCACTGCTGCAGAACAGAATATAGAAAAAGAATGAAAAGAAATGAACAGCCTAAGAGATCTCTGTGACAACATTAAACACACTAACATTCACATTATAGGCTTCCCAGAAGGAGAAGAGAAAGAGAAGACCTGAGAAAATATGTGAAGAGATGATAGCTGAAAACTTCCTTAACATGGGGAAGGAAATAGTCAACCAAGTCCAGGAAGTACAGTCCCAGGCAGGATATAAATCCAAGGAGGAACACACCGAGACATAATAATCAAACTGACAGAAATTAAAGACAAAGATAAAATTTTAAAAGCAGCAAGGGAAAACTGACAACATATAGGGGAACTCCCATCAGGCTATCAGCTGATTTTTCACCAGAAGCTCTGCAAGTCAGAAGGGGATGGCACTTTAAAGTGATGAAAGAGGAAGAACCTACACCCAAGAATACTCTACCCAACAAGACTCTCTGTCAGATTTGATGGAGAAATCAAAAGCTTTCCAGACAATCAAAAGTTAAGAGAATTTAGCACCACCAAACCAGCTTTACAGCAAATGCTAAAGGAACTTCTCTAGGCAGGAAACACAAGAGAAGGAAGAGATCTGCAGAAAACAGACCGCAGACAGTTCAGAAGACGGTGATGGACCTTACATACTGATGATTCCCTTAGATGTGAATGGGTGAAGTGCATCGGACATAGACGTAGACATCAGACGTAGACTGGCGTACATGTGCATGTATGAGTGCTACTTGCCGCTTCACTCTGCTTGACCCCCCCAGATTGTATATTGTTATTTTATATTGTCAGGTTAGTCAAGTTTCCGGTATGACTTGCAGTTGTAATAATCTTCTACTTTTGGTCTGGTTATTGAGTGTGAAAACTGTTCTTTTTGTTTGTTTTGATAGTGAAAACAGATAAACATCTTTTACTATTGTGATTGTGCAACTGTTACTTAATACCATTGTATTATGATTGGTCAAAAGAAAAACAATAGAACTCTGTATCACCAAAACTACCATTTAATAGAAAAACCTGTAATCACTTTTTAAAATCCAGATGCATATCAGAATTACTGGAATTTTTGAAAGATAAAAGTGCCCAGATATGTTTCTAATGAGCAGCCATGTTTGAAAACAACTGAACTATATGATGATCTTTTACTTTTGTCTAGTTTGTTCCACTTTTTCTATTTCATGTTCAGTGCTCCCATTTAATTTAGTTTGTTTTCCAGTTTTTCCATCTCTTTCTTTCTTTGATGTTCTTTCTCACGCCTTTATCAACTGTAGTAGAAAAGCTTTGTATACATATATATATAAACAATGTGTATAATATATATATTTCAGAAAACTTATGAATTTTTGCCTAACTATAAATTTTATGACATTTTGATTCCACTTGTTTGACTTAGTATGAATAGAATGCTTGATTTCTAATTTAAAAAATAGATATGCAACAAGCAACAAAGGTTTACTGTATAGCACAGGGAACTATATAGTCAGTGTCTAGTAATAACCTATAATGGAAAATAATTTTAAAAATAATATATGTGTATATGTATAACTGAATCACCTTGCTGCACACCTGAAACACTGTTATGTCAACTATACTTCAGTAAAATATATGTATTAAAAAATTTAACAAAGATCTCTTAAATCCAATGCATGTGTCTTCTTATGAATATATTATAGAAAACAAATCAATGGAAGAGCTGAGAAAGTAAAGGGCAGACAGCTGCAACATAGAAGGTTAAAGTTGGTACAATGAAAGGTAGCGTTTGTGTGGGAAGAATGGGGAAGGAAAAGAATGGCCACAGTATGGAGACGGGAACACACAGGACTTGTTGCAGGAGAAGCCTGGTCTGGTTTGGCCAGAGCATGAGCCACATATGAGACAGTGAAGAAAGCAGTGGAGGCTCGACCCGAAACATAGGTTAGGGTCATGTTGTAGAAGGCGCTGAGTGCCATGGTGGAGAAGAACGTCATTCTGTAGGAAAATTTGAGCAAGAAATGAAAAATGTGGCTCTTTTAAGACCCAATAATAATCACGATAAATGTCTACATTTTTAAGTTGTGACTTTGTGCTCATCCCCTAACATGTGTTCTCTCATTAATGCCTCACAGTAACTCTATGAACTATGGACGTGAAACTGAGGCTCGGTTATCTTAAGGAGGTTGGCAGATATCAAACATACAGCTGGAGCTCAGGCTCAGACTGGGGTCTGTCATTTTCCAAAGCCTTGTCCTGTTTTCCACTGTGATAGACTGTTTTCTTTGATCAGATCACCTGATAAGTCCTTAATTCTCTGTCAAGAATATGGCTGTAGGGAAAGGACACTTTCAAGCTCTGAAAGGACTACTTCTCACTGTGTAATCATGCTAAGGAGTATAATCACTGCCAAGCCTGACTTGTGCTGCTCTCTAATTTGGGACTAGAGCTAGATGGGAAATTGAAGATTTGGGTGATGTTTTATTTACATGCCTCATGACATCAGTACATGCTCATAGCAAATGTTTTTATTTTCCTTTTCAGCATTTAACTTTATTTGCCCTATGTATATCTTGGGTCAGGTAAAGTTCTGTTTCTAGGGGCATTTTAAGATACATAATGACGTGATACTTCTCCTAGCTAAAATATGTTTCTTCTCAGCAGGTTTTCCACTTTTAAAAAGACAATGACTACTGATGAAGCTGCCAAGAACAATGGAGAAAGCCCTGCAGCAGCTGTTGCTGAACAGGGAGAGGATATTACCTCCAAAAAAGATAGAGGAGTATTAAAGGTGAGGCCATGACATGTAAAGAAATTTGCTATCTGGAAAGATTGTTAATAAAAATCTTTTTTTGTTTTTTGTTTTTGGCTAGAGGTGGAGATGGATTGGGGCTTCCCAAGTGGTGCAGTGGTAAACAATCTGCCTGACTATGCAGGAGAGACGCGGGTTCCATCCCTGGGGTTGGGAAGATCCCCTGGAGGAGGAAATGGCAACCCACTCCAGTATTCTTGCCTGGAGAGTCCCATGGATGGAGGAGCCTGGTGGGTTACAGTCCATGGGATTGCAAAGAGTCAAACATAACTGAGCATTGAGATGGATTTTGTTTATTGAGGCTTACTAAGTACCAAATGCTACAGCTAAATTCTCATTTGGTCTTTATAACTGCAGGTTTATTTTCAATCCCAGATTATAGATGGTAAAGCTGAGAACCAGCTAGGTAAATTAACTTGCCCCAAATCATATATCTCAGTAAATGCAGGTCTGAGGATTTATGTTATGTCTGACTCTAAAAAGACTGTCTCTGTTCTCACAGAGCACAAATGGGCAATTATTTTAATATTTATATTAAAGCTAGCTAATGACTATTTAAAAGACTTTCTCAAAAGTTAACTCGCAAAGTTCAGAAGGATTTGTTTTTTACATACAAATAGAGTTCCCGTGTGTAATGAAAATATTTTTTTGAGGTTTAATCAGAGAATGTATCTCACTTTTGAATTAGTATTCCTCCTTAAAAACACTTTTTTCACTCTCTGGTTATGTTTACATGTGGTTTTTTAAAAACCTCACAGTGATCTTTTGAGACAGAGCACATTTGATTCTCCCATTTATGTATGGAAGATATATGCGTTATTATTCCATATATTTGAGAGGTTAAATGGCTTTAGTCATATTAAGTTCTTTTTTCTTCTACACTTGATGTATTCAGGTTTTGTAAGATTACTTTTTTTTGCATAAACATAAAAGATTATGTTAAACTTTTTAAGTATTATCAATAAGCTGAATTTTAATAGAAGGAAATGGCAACCCACTCCAGTATTCTTGCATGGAGAATCCCATGGGCGGAGGGGCCTGGTAGGCTACAGTCCACGGGGTCAGGGTTGCAAAGAGTTGGACAGGACTGAGCTACTTCACTTTCACTTTTCACTTTCACTTTATGTTATCAGTAGCAAATGAGATTTTTGTTTGTTTGTTTTGGCTAATCTTGCTTACCTGAAAGCTTTCTTCACATATTCACAAACTTGAATCTCTTCTGAATATACATGTTTTACTATTAGGTTGCTACATGCCAAGCCACAGTTTGAAGACTTGCAAAATAAAGACTTAAGGATTATAGATGTGTATCATGTTATCTTCATTCAGAGGGCTTTCAACCTTGTAGCTCTGTGCATTACTCATCCCAGATTCCAGAATGCCTCTCAAGACAGTGGAAATTCTGCAGGTTGTTATCTTCCTGCTCTTTTATCATTTCAGTGCACTGGTACAGAGAACAACTTGCCTCAGGCCCTGCTTTGTTCTAGGGAGTAAATTGAATAAGATTTTTAGGCCTGTAAGAAACATTTTGAGATTGTAAACCCTTTAAATCTTATCATTTATCACTGTCTAAAGCCTTAGGTTTCACCATAGGGATTTTGGTTAAGATTAAATAGGTGTAGGGACTTCCCTGACAGTCCAGTGGTTAAGACACCAGACTGCTGCAGGGGCACAGGTTCGATCCTTGGTCAGGGAACTAAGATCCTGCATGCTGTGCATCATGGCCAAAAAATCAGTTCAGTCGCTCAGTCGTGTCCGACTCTGTGACCGCATGGACTGCAGCACGCCAGGCTTCCCTGTCCATCACCAACTCCCGGTGCTTACTCAAACTCATGTCCATCTAGTTAGTGATGCCATCCAGCTGTCTCATCCTCTATCATCACCTTCTCCTCCTTCCTTCAGTCTTTCCCAGCATCAGGATTTTTCCAGCATTAGTCCTTCCAATGAATATTCAGGACTGATTTCCTTTAGGATGGACTGGTTTGATCTCCTAGCAGTCCGAGGGACGCCAGAGTCTTCAACACCACAGTTCAAAAGCATCAATTCTTCGGCACACAGCTTTCTTTATAGTCCACCTCTCATATCCATACATGACTACTGGAAAAATCATAGCTTTGACTAGATGGACCTTTGTCGGCAAAGTAATGTCTCTCCTTTTTTATTATGCTGTCTAGGTTGGTCCATAACTTTTCTTCTAAGGAGCAAGTGTCTCTTAATTTCATGGCTGCAGTCACTATCTGCAGTGATTTTGGAACCCCCAAAAATAAAGTCTGTCACTGTTTCCCCATCTATTTGTCATGAAGTGATGGGATCAGATACAATGGTCTTAGTTTTCTGAATGTTGAGTTTTAAGCCAACTTTTTCACTCTCCTCTTTCACTTTCATCAAGAGGCTCTTTAGTTCTTCACTTTCTGCCATAAGGGTGGTGTCATCTGCATATCTGAGGTTATTGATATTTCTCCCAGCAATCTTGATTCCAGCTTGTGCTTCATCCAGCCCAGCATTTTGCATGATGTACTCTGCATGTAAGTTAAATAAGCAGGGTGACAATGTACAACCTTGACATACTCCTTTCCCAATTTTGAACCACTCTGTTGTTCCACATCCAGTTCTAACTGTTGCTTCTTGACCTGCATACAGATTTCTCAGGAGGCAGGTCAGGTGGTCTGATATTCCCATCTCTTTAAGGATTTCCCACAGTTTGTTGTGATCCACACAGTCAAAGGCTTTGGTGTAGTCAGTAAAGCAGAAGTAGATGTTTTTCTGGAACTCTCTTGCTTTTTTGATGATCCAGCGGATCTTGGCAATTTGATCTCTGGTTCCTCTGACTTCTCTAAATCCAGCTTGAACATCTGGAAGTTCAGGATTCACATACTGCTAAAGCCTGGCTTGGAAAATTTTGAGCATTACTTTGCTAGCATGTGAGATGAGTGCAATTTTGCAGTAGTTTGAACATTCTTTGGCATTACCTTTTTTTGGGATTGTAATGAAAACGTACCTTTTCCAGTCCTATGGCCACTGCTGAGTTTTCCAAATTTGCTGGCATATTGAGTGCAGCATTTTCACAGCATCATCTTTTACGATCCGAAATAGCTCAACTGGAATTCCATCACCTCCACTAGCTTTGTTCATAGTGATGCTTTCTAAGGCCTACTTGACTTCGCATTCCAGGATGTCTGGCTCTCCATGAGTGATCACACCATCGTGGTTATCTGGGTCATGAAGATCTTTTTTGTATAGTTCTTCTGTGTATTCTTGCCACTTCTTCTTAATATCTTCTGCTTCTGTTAGGTCCATACCATTTCTCTCCTATATTGTGCCCATCTTTGCATGAAATGCTCCCTTGGTATCTCTTAATTTTCTTGAAGAGATCTCTAGTCTTTCCCATTCTATTGTTTTCTTCCGTTTCTTTGCATTGATCACTGAGGAAGGCTTTCTTCTCTCTCCTTGCTATTCTTTGGAACTCTGCATTCAAATAGGTATATCTTTCCTTTTCTCCTTTACCTTCAGCTTCTCTTCTTTTCTCAACTATTTGTAAGGCCTCCTCAGACAGCCATTTTTGCCTTTTTGCATTTCTTTTTCTTGAGGATGGTCTTGATCTCTACCTGTTGTACAGTGTCATGAACCTCCATCCATAGTTCTTCAGGCACTCTATCAGATCTAATCCCTTGAATCTATTTCTCACTTCCACTGTATAATCGTAAGGGATTCTTCAAACTAACATGGCAGAATAGAAGGACATGCACTCATCTTCTCCTGCGAGAACTCCAAAAACAACTTGCTGCTGAACAGCTGTCAACAGGAGCATGTTGGATCCCACCAAAAAAAGATACCCCACATCCAAGGGCAAAGGAGAAGTCCCAACAAGACGGCAGGAGGGGTGAAATTGTGTTTAGACTCAAACCCCATACCTGCCAGAGACACTCAGAGGGCTCAAACAAGCCTTGTGCGCACCAGGATCCAGAGACTCCACAGAGACTGAGCCAGAAGGGTGTGTGAGTGTTCCTGTGGAGGTGTGGGTCAGCAGTGGAATGCTGTTGGGGCGGGGGCTTTAAGTGCAGTAGATCTGGGTATGACATAAGCCCTCTTGGAGGAGGTTGCCATTAACCCCACCATAGAGCCGCCGGAACTTACCCAAGACTGGGGAAACAGACTCTTGGGGGGCACAGACAAGACCTTGTGCCCACCAGGACCCAGGAGAAAGGAGCAGTGACCCCACAAGAGACCGACCCAGACTTGCCTGTGAGTGTCCAGGAGTCTCCGACGGAGGCGTGGGTTGGCGGTGGCCTGCTGCAGGGTTTGGGACACTGAGTGCAGCCGTGCATGGGACCTTTTGAAGGAGGTCACCATTATCTTCATTACCTCCTCCATAGTTTGGCCTCAGGTCAAACAACAGGGAGGGAACACAGCCCTCACCAACAGAAAATTGGATTAAAGATTTACTGAGCATGACCCCGCCCATCAGAAGAAGACTCCTTTCCCCTTCAGCCTGTCTCTCCCATCAGGAAGCTTCCATAAGCCTCTTTTCCTTCTCCATCAGAGGGTAAACAGAATGAAAACCATAATCACAGAAAACTAACCAATCTGATCACATGGCCCACAGCCTTGTCTAACTCAATGAAACCATGAGCCATGCCATGGATGGCCACCCAGGAAGGATGGATCTTAGGGGAGAGTTCTGATAAAAGGTGGTCCACTGGAGTAGGAAATGGCAAACCACTTCAGTATTCTTGCCTTGAGAACCCCATGAACAGTATGAAAAGGCAGAAAGATAGGACACTGGAAGATGAACTCCCCAAGTCAGTAGGTGCCCAATGTGCTACTGGATATCAGTGAAGAAATAACTCCAGAAAGAATGAAGAGACGGAGCCAAAGCAAAAACAACACCCAATTGTGGATGTGACTGGTGATGGAAGCAAAGTCCGGTTCTGTAAAGAGCAATATTGCATAGGAACCTGGAATGTTAGGTCCACGAATCA